GGCCATGTTCGCCACAACCCACCCCCGGTTACCTGTCCCAGCCTGGAGCCAAAGGCTCCTGGCGGGGTTGGGAGAGGAGGTGATGATCATCAAGCTGGGGGCAGAAGGAACGGATGCCAGATGCCAACTCTGCCCACCAGCCAGCCAGCTGTGAGAGTTGGATGTGGGAGCACAGTGATCACCAGGGGGCAGCTCCTGCATTGACCGTCTGCCCCCTGGTGGTCAGTGCGTGTCAGTGACTGGTTGTTCCAGTTTATCTACACTAATAAAAGAGAAACATGGTAATTAGTGTCACTCCGCTACCCTTCCCATTGGCTAATCCCCGTCACTCACAGAGTAGGGCCAAGATATGCAAATTAACTGGCAGCCAAGATGGCGGCCGGCAGCCAGGCAGCTGATGCGAACAGGGAGGCTTGCTTGCTTCAGTGATGGAGAACTCCAACGTTCCCCGCCTGACTTGCCGGCCTCTCAGCTGCAACTCTCAGCAACTATGTTGTGAATAAAGAAGCTATAAAAAACCCCAGAAACCTGCTTTACTCAGCGGAGCTTCAGCCAGCCGGACCGCAACATTGTATCAAATACAGACGGTAAACAAAGGCCAGAAACCTGTTTTCAGCAGCCGAGGCCTCAGAGCTAAAGCTGGCCCAGAATAAAAAAAAAAAAAAGAAAAAGAAAAAACGGAGCGGTTGGGAGCTTCAGTCCCAGACTGAAAACAGCCCTCAGCCCCTCAGCCAGACTGGCCAGGCACCCCAGTGGGGACCCCCACCCTGAAGGGTGTGTGACCAGCTGCAAACAGCCATCACCCCCTTACCCAGGCTGGCCAGGCACCCAGTGGGGACCCCTACCCTGATCCAGGACACCCTTCAGGGCAAACCAGCCAGCCCCACCCATGCACCAGGCCTCTATTCTATATAGTAAAAGGGTAATATGCCTCCCAGCACTGGGATCAGTGGAGCTGCGAGGCCTCCCGGCACCGGGATCAGCGTGACAGGGGGCAGCACCCAAACCCTCTGATCACCCTGCGGCTCTGTGTGTGACAGGGGGCGGGGCCCCAACCCCCCGCCCCCCACGGGCCCTGCTCTGTGTGTGACGGGGTAGAGTCATAACCTCCGCATTTGCCCTGCCCTGAGTGTGACAGTGGCAGCGCCCCAACCCCCTGATCGGCCCTGCTCTGTGGGTGATAGAGGGTGGCGCCCCAACCCCCTGATCCGCCCTGCCCTGAGTGTGACAGGGGGCGGTGCCCCAACTCCCCTATCGGCCCAACTCTGTGAGTGACAGGGGGGAACTCCTCAACCCCCTGATCGGCCCTGCTCTGTGCATGACAGGGGGGAGCTCCCCAACCCCCTGATTGACCCTGCTCTGTGCGTGACGGGGTGGCGCCGCAACCTCCCCATCGACCCTGCCTTGAGTGTGACGGGGTGGTGCCCCAACCCCCCAATCGGCCTTACCCTAAGCGTGACTGATGGTGGCATCACAACCTCCCAATCTGCCCTGCTCTGTGCATGACAGGGGAAGGCGCCCCAACTCCCCAATCGGCCCTGCTCTGAGCCCGACAAGGGGCTGCACCTAGGGATTGGGCCTGCCCTCTGCCACCCGGGAGCAGGCCTAAGCCAGCAGGTCGTTATCTCCCAAGGGGTCCCAGACTGCAAGAGGGCACAGGCCGGTCTGAGGGACCCCCCCTCCCCCCGAGTGCACAAATTTTTGTGCACCGGGCCTCTAGAATATATATAAACAAACTTGCTTAATTAGACCTGCTTTCTGATGTAGCTAAACTTTTTCCAGCCCAGTGAAGCACCTCAACTTCTCTTTCAGGTGATTGTCAGCAAAACAGCAATAAATATCAACATGGAGCAGATTATTTTTGTAGATCACGCAGGGAGAACAAAGGGTAAAATACTTAACTGCATCAGTGTTTGACTATATTCTGCACAGTGAGAAAACCTGAAGTCATTCTCAAGGTCCACCATTTCTTGTTTCCAATTGGGTCAAGTTTTTAAACTTTCTAAATCTCCTTTCCGGCTAATGAAAAGAAAACAGGATTTTACCAAGTTTCCTATCTACCTACTCCAGGACTTTTGTGAAGATCAAATGAGATGAGGCACGGGAAAATGATTCACAGACATTCGGTTAAAGTGTGAAATGTTTGCATCTGACTATAAAGCAGGTCATGTGCCTGGGCTGAAGAAACAGCAAGGAGGGAGAGGAAGCCGGGCGTTGCTATGTTACATCATTACCTGGCACCCACAGCAACTGTTTCCTGGCTGGGCTGGGCTGTGGCCACATTTTGCATCATGGGGTCCCTGCAGCATTAGCTGCAATTTGGTGGGGGGTCGCTCTGGGGTGGTGGCAGGGCCTGTGTCCCACTTGGGGGAAGCCAAGTGTTGCTTTGTGGGAGCCAGGTCTGCAGTGCCAGTGCATGTCACAGTAGCTCCTGCGTTGAACGTCTTCCCCCTGTTGGTCAGTGTGCATCATAGCAACCAGTCGGATGGTCGGACACTTAGCATATTAGCCTTTTATATACATATATACATATACATATATATATATACATATATACATATATATATATATATATATATATATATATAGACTAGAGGCCTGGTGCACGGAATTTGTGCACTTGGGCGGGGGGGTGTTTCTCAGCTTGGCCTGCGCCCTTTCACAGTCTGGGAGCCCTCGGGGGATGTCCGACTGAAGGCTTAGGCACGGGGAGTGTGCCAGAACCATCAGTTGGACATCCATAGCGCTGCCACGGACGTGGGAAAGGCTCCCACCACTACTGCTGCACTCGCCACCCGCAATCCTGGCTTCTGGCTGAGCGGTGCTCCCCTGGTGGTCAGTGCACATCATAGCAACTGTTTTTTCCCGATGTTTGGTCAATTTGCTTATTAACCTTTTATTATATAGGACTAGAGGCCCGATGCACGAAATTCGTGCAAGAGTAGACCTTTCTTCCCCCAGCTGCCTGCACCAGCTTCCCTCTGGCACCCAAGACCCAGGCTTCCTTCCAGCCGCCAGCAGGCACCTGGGACCGGGGCTTCCCTCACAGCCCCAGCTTTGTCTAGAACAGTGGTTCTCAACCTTCCTAATGTCGCAACCCTTTAATACAGTTCCTCATGTTGTGGTGACCCCCAATTTCATTGTTACAAATTGAACATAATTAAAGCGTAGTGATTAATCACAAAAACAATATGTAATTATGTATGTTTTCCGATGGTCTTAGGAGACCCCTATGAAAGGGTCGTTCGACCCCCAAAGGGGTTGCGACCCACAGGTTGAGAACCGCTGGGCTAGAAGGACATCCAGAAGGGTGTCCAGTCTAATTAGCATATTACCCTTTTATTATTATAGACTAGGGGCCCTGTGCACGAAATTCGTGCACTGGGTGTGTGTGTGTGGGGGGGGAGTGTCCCTCAGCCCAGCCTGCCCCCTCTTACATACTGGGAGCCCTCAGGCATTGACCCCCATCACCCTCCAATCGCAGGACCCTCATTTCCCCCCACCACTGGTTCTGCCTCCAGCCCAGGCCTGATGCCTCTGGCCCAGGCGTCAGGCCTGGGCAGGGGACCCCCAGACCACTCCGATTGCTGGCTCTGCCCTTTTCCCAGGCCTGATGCCTCGGCCAGAGGCGTAGACCCCCATCACCCTCCGATCGCCTGATTGGCCCCTTGCCTAGGCCTGACGCCTCTGCCAGAGGTGTCAGGCTTGGACAGGGGACCCCCATCTCCCCCCATCACTGGCTCTGACCCCCGCCCAGGCCTGAGGCCTCTGGCCCAGGAATCATGCCTGGGCAGGGGACTCCCATCTCCCTCTGATCGCTTGCTCCACCCCCCGCCCAAGCCTGACGCCTCTGACCCAGGCTTCAGGCCTGGGCAAGGGGACCATCATATCCCCCCAATCCCCGGCTCCGCCCCCCACCCAGGCCTGATGCCTCAGCCAGAGGAGTTGACCCTCATCACCCTCCGATCACCAATCACCGGATCGGCCCCTTGACCAGGCCTGAGGCCTCCGGCAGAGGTGTCAGGCCTGGGCAGGGGACCCCCAGCTCCCCGCGCTTGCAGGCTCCGCCCCTGCCCAGGCCTAACGCCTCTGGCCTAGGCGTCCGGCCCGGGCAGTGGGGACCCGCAGTGGCAGCGGGGGGGGGGGGGGGGGGGCGCTGCGATTGCGCGGGCTCCGCCCTTGCCCCTGCAGGATGCCTCTGGCTGAGGCGTGCGGCTCAGGCAGCGGGGACCCGCAGCTGCAGTGGCCCCGAGATCGTGGGCTTCGCTTTAGGCCCAGGCAAGGGACCCCTAGCTCCCGGGACTGCCAGCTTCGACCGTGCCCAGCTCCCATCGCTGGCTCCACCCCTACTTCCTGCTATTACTGGCCAGGGCAGCAAAGGCGCCTGATTCTCCGATCATGGCTGGGGGGCAGGGCAAAGGCGGCCCCGGGGCCGCTCTTAGCTCCCCACTGGGTTTCCGATCACTGTCAGTGGCAGGGGGCTTCTTCCTGCTTTCCCTTTCGCCTCCCTGCATTGTGCCTACATATGCAAATTAACCGCCATCTTGTTGGCAGTTAACTGCTAATCTTTGTTGGCAGTTACTTTGCATATAGCCCTGATTAGCCAATGAAAAGGGTAGCATCGTATGCCAATTACCATTTTTCTCTTTTATTAGTGTAGATGTTTTTAATAAAAATTTCAGATCTCTAATAGTAAATGGGGAATTATGGAGAATTAAATGTTCTGCCAGCTTACAAGGCTTTGTTGCATTCTGTTTTTTTAAGCTTATATAGCCTTAATATATCTTTAAAAGTTTGTTGTAAGAATTAAATCAGATAATTTTTGCTTGGCAAGTAGTAGGTGTTTAACAAACATTTGCTGGATTTGAATCAAAATGTCACAGGTAGTATCATGGCTTACTGATCAATTAGATTCTTCCTGTGTTTTAACAATTTGTATAAAATTAGACTTGCCAGTGCTAAAATAAGAGATAGCAATTATTTTTTCTTGGTGTCCTTAGGATGAATTCAGTGACGTCATTGATATTAAGGATCCCGATTTTACTCCTGCAGCTGAACGCAGGCAGAAACGCCTGGCTGTTGAGCTGGCCAAATTTGATCCTGATCATTATCTGTGAGTATTGAGTTTTTTGAGGATTAAATAATTTGCTTGACATTTGTTTATAAATTTTGAGTGTCTTTTTAACTATGTTAGGTATGTGCTTTTTGGATTCTGGAAATTATTGAAGGCTTAAGGCTTTAATTGACATCTGAATTAACTTACCACTTTAAAAACCTTTGTGATGTTTGTAGGATGTTGCTTCTTAGTAGTTCATTCTAGCAGAGAGCTCTTCTAACATGCTTCTTTGAGACTTTTCTTTTCAGGCTTAAAAATAGAACACTGAATCCGAACATAGTTGCACTTTAAGTAGGCTTTTTGTTGTGATTAATGGTGTTGATGAATTTAAATCTACATTTACTGCATTTCATGGCTGATCTATGGTTTTCCTAACACTTTCATCCACTAGCACCAGTATCTAGTTTCAAATTAATAAATAATGACTTTTTATAATTCATAGATAGGTAAATAATCACTTGAGGAGAGACTGTGATGTATCCCATTTATTATGATAGCAACACTTCTTCAAAGGAAGCAAGTGTTATCTGGCCTTTATGTAGCTGGGTTCTCCTACTCTAATTTGATTCAGCCCTCAATTATTATTCTTCCTAAGCTCTGGGCCAACAACTTCTGTTATATATGCAGCTATCATATTATTCTTATCTATATGCTAGAGGCCTGGTGCATGAAACTTGACTGAATGGCTGAACGACCGATCGCTATGATGCACACTGACCACCAGGGGGCAAACACTCAATGCAGGAGCTGCCCCCAGCCTGCAGGCCCCAACCCAGCCAAGGCGGGTGCCAGCGGGGGCTCCCCAATTGCCCTGCTGGTCACCCCACAGATTGACCCTGATCACTGGCCAGACCTAGCGATCCTACCTGTTCACGAGTTTCATGCACCGGGCCTCTAGTAGGATATAAAACCTTAAGTGACTATTCGACTGGTAGCTATGACACACGTTGACCACCAGGGACAGATGCTCCAACTGGTGAGTTAGCTTGCTGCCGGGGTCCAGCTGATCGGGACTGGGCGAAACAGGCCAGACACGCCCTGAAGCCCTCCTGCAGTCCCTCCCCAGCTGGCCAACCTCCCGCGGTCCTTCCCCAGCCCCAATCGTGCACCAGTGGGGTCTCTCAGCCTGGCCTGCGCCCTCTCGCAATTTGGGATCTCTTGCAGGTATCTATATATATAAAAGCCTAAGTGACTGTTTGACTGTTTGACCGGTAGCTATGATGCGCACTGACCACCAGGGGGCAGATGCTCAGCGCACAGGCATGGAAACATGGAACAGATGGATGAATCTCAGAGGGAAAGTGGGAGGGGAGGGAGAGATTAAGCGAAGACCTTATATGCATACTAGAGACCCGGTGCGGCAGTGGGGTCCCTCGGCGTAGCCTGTGGGGATGGGGCCAAAACTGGCAGTCCAATGTCGCTTGCTGCTCCTGCTTATCCTGGCCCTGCTGCGCTTGCTGCCGCCACAAGTTGGTAGGCTTGCTGCCACTCTGCTGCAGTCTCTGGGCTGCAGCAGCCAGGTGTGAGCCCTGTGTCGGGTGCCCATTGTTCAGCTGAGCTTTGCTCCCTCTGTGGGAGTGCACAGATCACCAGGGGGCAGCTCCTGTGTTGAGCATCTGCTCCCTGGTGGTCAGTGTGCATCATAGTGACCGGTTGACCGGTCGTTCAGTTGCTTAGGCTTTTATATATATAGACTAGAGGCCTGGTGCACGAAATTCATGCATGGGGTGGGGGGGCAGTCCCTCAGCCCAACCTGCACCCTCTCCAATCTGGGAGCCCTCAGCGGATGTCCTACTGGCAGCTTGGGCCCACTCCTCGTGGTTCTCTGCTCTGTGCGGGGCCTGCCTGCTCTACACCATGGCGATGGGCAAGCAGGCCCTGCTGGGTGCTGCCTGCGGGCCATGCTTGGCTCCTAGACTCACGTTGCTGGGGTGACGCTGCCAGCGTCCTGCCCTGGCCGCTATGGGCGCCGCCATCTTTGTGGCAGAGTGATGGTTAATTTGCATATTACTCTTTTATTAGATAGGACTAGAGGCCCAGGGTCCCTTTGCCTGGCCTGCAGGGATAGGGCTGAATCCGGCCTGGTGCACAGATTTGTGCACTGGTGGGGCCCCTCAGCCTGTCCTGTGGGGATCAGGCTGAAACCAGCAGGTCAATGTCCCCCAAGGAGTCCAGGATTTTGAGAGGGCGCAGGCTAGGCCGAGGGACCCCACTGGTGCACGATCAGGGCCGTGGAGGGACGCAGGAGGTTGGCCAGCTGGAGAGGGACCATGGGAGGGCTCCAGGGCATGTCCGGCCCGTCTCGCTCAGTTCTGATTGGCTGGACGCCAGCAGCAAGCTCACCTACCGGTCGTATCTTCTGCCTTCTGGTGGTCAGTGCACATCATAGCGAGCAGTTAGGTGACCTTAGAATATCATTAGCATATTATGCTTTGATTGGTTGAACAGCCAACTGGTCGAATGGACACTTAGCATATTAAGCTTCTATTATATAGGACTAGAGGCCCAGTGCACAAAAATTTGTGCACTCGGGGTGGGGGGGTCCCTCATCCTGGCCTGTGTCCTCTCGCAGTCTGGGACCCCTCGGAGGATGTCCACCTGCTGGCTTTGGCCCGCTCCCTGGGGGGATAGGGCCAAGGCTGGCACTCAGACATCCCTCTGGGTCAATTTGCATATTACCCTTTTATTATATAGGATGTTGAGTAATAGCGATGAGAATGGACATCCTTGTCTTGTTCCTGACCTTAAAGAAAAAGCTTTCATTGTTTCACCATTGAGTATAATATTAGCTGAGGGTTTGTCATTAATGACCTTCATTATGTTGAGGTACTTTCCTTCTATACATACATTCTTTTATTGAGTGAATCATGAATGGATGTTGTATCTTGTCTATTGCTTTTTCACTATCTGTTGATATGAGCATGATTTTTATCCTTTATTTTGTTAATGTGTTTTACATGGATCAGTTTGTGTATGCTGCAACATCCTGTGCCCCTGATAGTATTTTGTTTAGGACTTGTGCATCTGTGTTCATCAGAGATATTGGTCTTTAATTTTCTTTCTGTGTGTTACCCTTGCCAGGCTTTATGTCCTAAAATGAATTTGTAAGTATTGCTGCTGCTTCAGCTTTTTGGAAGAGTTTGAGAAGAATAGTTATTAAATCTTCCAATGCCTGGTAGAATTCACTAGTAAAGCCATCTGGTCCTGGACTTTTGCTTCATGGGGGGGTCTTTAATGGTTGTTTTAATTTTCTCTCTGTTGACTGGTCTATTTAGATTTCCCAGGTCTTCATGATTTAGTCTAGGAAGGTTATACGTTTCTACAAAGTTGTCCATTTCTTTAGGTTATTGAATTTGGCAGCATTTAGCCTTTCATAGTATTGTATAGTCCTTTGTATTTCTGTGGTGTCTGTTGTAACTTTTCCTCTTTTATTTCTGATATTGTTTGAGTCTAGTGATTCTGATATTAGTGAGTCTAGCCAGAGGTTTGTCAATTTTATTAATCTTTAAGAACCAGCTCTTTGTTGCATTAATTTTTTTCAATTGTCTTTTTGTTTTCTATTTTGTTTAAATCCACTCTAATTTTTAATATTTCCTTCCTTCTACTGATTTTGGGCCTTGTTTTTTCTTTTTATAGTTCTTCAAAGTGAAATGTTACATTGTTTATTTGAGATTTTTATTGTTTCTTAAGGAAGGCCTGTAATAATACAAACTTGCCTCTTATTACTGCTTTTGCTGTAACCTGCAAATTTTGCTATGTTTTACTGTTATTCTACATTTCTGTATTTGTCTTTTGATCTTTTATTTCTTCTTTGACCCAGTCCCTGTTTAGTAGCATGTGTTTTTCTTTAATCCTTACCCAAGAATATGCTTATTGATTTTAGAGAGAAGGGGTGGAGAGGAAGAGGGAGAGAAAGAGATACATTGATGTGAGAGAGAACATTGATTGATTGCCTTCTGTATGTGCCCCAATCAGGGATTGAAACTGCAACCTAGGTATGTGCCCTGACTGGGAATTGAGCCCACGATCTTTCTGTATGTGGGACAATGCTCCATGCAATTGAGCCACACTGACCAGGGCAGCAGCATGTTGTTTAATCTTCACCAATTTTTACTTTTTTCCCCACTTTCTTCTTTTAATATATTTCTAATTTGAAAGCATTGTGGTTGGAGAATGTGTGCGATATGATTTCAGTCTTCTGAGGCTAGTTTTGTGTCCAACATATGCTCTATCCTTGAAAATGTTCTATGTGCATTAGAGGAGAATATATAATCTGGTTTTCTGGGATGAAAAGCTCTTTGATAATCTCCAGTTCTAGTGTGTTATTTAATGTCAACATTTCCTTATTTATTTTGTTAGACTGATCTATCCATTGCTGTGAATGGGATATTTAAGTTCTCCACTATAATTGTGTTTTTGTCAGTATTTCCCTTTAGTTTTGTTAGTAGTTGCTTTATATATTTAGGTGTTTAATATGTATATTGAAAAGTGGTGTCTTCTTGATTTATTATTCCTCCCTCTATAAAATGTTCATCTTTGTCTCCTTTCCTTTTTATCTTGAAATCTTTTTTTTTAGATATAAGTGTAGCTAGAGTCACTTTTTTTGGAGTATTGTTTTCCACCTCAAATCACTTTGAATCTTTGTTTGTCCTTGCAACTGACGTGTGTCTCCTGAAAGCAGAATGTAGATGGGTTTTGTGTTTTGAATTCAACCCTCTACTCTGTGCCTTTTAATTGGTGAGTTAAGTTGTTTTGCATTTACGGTGACTATTGATATATAAGCATTTTCTATAGCCATTTTATTTTTTGTTTTCTGTCATCTGTCTTTATTCCATTTTTTCTTGTATTTCTGTCTTTTTATTTTTAGTTTGGTGTTACTCTATGATTTTTATGTTATGTATCTCAGTTCTAGACTTTATTTTATGGTTATAATTAGGTTCATGTAAAAGAAAGTTTCATATATACACTGTCCTTTTCCTTTTGTGCATTTTATCTCC